TCAGCGAAGTCGTTCTCTACCGACATAAGCATTCAGTAGTTGTTGAACCGTTTTGCGCTACCGATAAAAATAACACGAACAGCACCGCCATAGCAATGACAACAGCATCCCTAAGATCTCATGTTGCCCTTGCCCACGCGATTGCTATAGCCACGACTACATATCTCACCTTCACGTGAGGTGCCGCATCGGCCACCGAATTTCGTGATTAAACAGCAACAGTGATCGTCGATGGAACCACCACAGCTGGTACAGCCACGGAAAACGATTCCATTCGTTAACCTTAAATGCGAACTAGATGATCGGTCTGCGCGCCGATGCGGCAGTGTCCATCGAAGCGGTCGTTCAATTGGCCTCCCCTACTTGACCCCTCCTCCATAGCTCTCTTAGCACCCCAGGCTCCCCTCGATGTCCGTTATCTCTTCTTCCCGCCGCCGCGTTTCGGAAAGCATTGCCTGCGTGGGCTTATTCTTCACCTTCTCGCATCACACCGATTTTCGCACGACGATCGCAGTGGGCAACAACGCAATGATCACCTGTAAACGCCAGTGCGAAAAGCACACTCGCAAATCACCGATACGGCCACTGACTAAGCAGAGATGAACTAACAAACAGACAGATAAACGCCACGCCACTTACCCACTCATCCGTTCGTTTCTGCTTACTTTTTTTTTCTTTCGCGTCAACTGCTACTACTGCCTAGACGTTGCAGTGAACGGACAAGCAACATAAGCGGATTCAGAGTCGGCCAAGTTCTTGCTTGTTTGTCTACCTGTCTGCATCCGTCCATCGTTCGATCTTGTCTAAAGCTGCCAAGCAAGCTTTCAACCATCCCATCGTAGGATATAGCTGAGTGAGAATCGCGAAGTCAAATGAAAGCATCAGCAGCTTAGCCAACGGGCAACTCGTCCGTTTGTCAGTTGCCATCCCCGATCACTGCGCGTAGCAGAGTGATGACTGCCTCCGCTCTTGCTGTTGATGCTGCTCGATGTGCCGTTACCCCCACAGCTGGACCGCTCCACCAACAGCGGCACGTTACAAAATCGTTATCCCCGCGCCGATTGTTACGTAACCGTCTGTCGGCAACGGCATCGTTGCTGCTACCGCCGTTAGTCGCGCTCAACGCGGCGCGGGCAGGCGGGCGCGCTTTCCGTCGTATCTCGGTTATCGCCTGGCGTCTGACGTCTTCACTCCGACTTCGGCACTTCCACTACTACAATAATTACTGCTGCTACTCCGACGAAACGAACAATACGACCCAACACGTTCCGTCGTCGATTCGACGCACCCTCTGTCACCGCTGCCATAATGAGTGGCAATGCTGCTGGGAACTCATAGGCCGTCCCTCGCGCTGGTGTTTAGTTGCTGTTGCTGCGGCTGGTGCAGGAGCAACCAAATGACCGAGCAAACGAACCATTACACCGATGAATGTATACATAAATGTATAAATACGTTTATGTATAATGCTCCTACAAATAAGTCGCCAGCTGCGGCGGCGACAATATAGAGACGAGCACTTATGGTAGCTCAAGCTCAACGGAATAGAGAGGGTAGGCAAGCAGCATAACGCAACACTTCACCTTCCCTGTTGTTGATATTGAAATCCTTGTCATAGAACTGAGCTTTGCGGGGAAAACGGGAATGGGCAGGTGGAAGGAAGCTGCCATTAGCGCCACAACGTGAAACCAATAGGGACTGAGTCAAACTAACGGCCCAGTCACGGTCATCAACCTCAACAAACAACATGTCGACAAGATAGCTTTGTTATGGGCAAGACATCGTCGAAATAATAGGCGACGCAGGAAACCAGATACGCTGCACCGTCACCTCATTCCGTCGGCCAGCGGCCACCTACGTGGCCACTATTTTTGTACTGAAAAAAATACACGAGAGAAACTAGAATCACTTCGGCAACATCTGTCCTAGGTCCTTCTAGCAACAAAAATACCGAATAGAACAACAACACAGCGCGTACCAATAACTGCAGCGACGATAGCAACAGCCGCCATACAATAAACTTGCGTGTTAGAGAAATACATATTGTTGTTGTTATTACGATAGACCCTCATCTGAACTGTACCCTGGACTTAGAGATCAGTTTTAATTGTTCTCCCACTTATTTATCTGTTACAACGTATTCAAGTAAACGTAAAGAGCACGAGGGTTCTTTTTCGATAGTGATTATTACATATGCTTGTACGATGGCGCCGATGCTGAACGCTACCCTTACGATCGGTCACAACTATGGAGAAAAACGGCCGGGCTTACCTCCTCGCACGAAAATAGCGTTACCCTTTACCAATTGTACTCCTTTAGCCTTACTGATTTCTGTTAACTGAATTAGAAATTTGAGTTCGCAAGCGAGCTAATGAAGCGCTTATTGGGAACGCATTTGCTATGAAAGCGTGGTCTTTAATGATGATTGTAGAGATGTGTCGATTCAAGTTATAGTAAACCAGGGAACGACGCGTACGTAACGATTTCTGTCAAATCAAATACACATTAGTCCTTTGATAATCGCTGCCATTATGCCATAGTCTATAGAACCGGACATTTCGTGACGGCCCGGAACGTTTACCAAACGTTCGACTAATTTCTACTATGAAAGCTGAATAAGAAATAAACAACGGCATTAGAGTGACGACACTTGCTAGACTCATTCAGAGTGTGTAAGATTCATTTCTATGAAAAGGACTCTAGGGGGTCTTCGAGGTTTCCTGGCTTTCATTTCAGGCAGGACTGAGATTCAATACACGTGCACTTGGCCACATCAAGTAGCTCAGGGACGTAGTATCGGTTCTGTAATTAGACGTTAGCGAGCACTTCGACGAAAGAAGACCGAATTATAATAAAGACGATTACATCGATACACGCAGCGGATATTAATTAAAAAACAATGAAGCAATATCAATTATACTTCATAATAATAAATATAATTTGCCTTTGCTATCAACGTCTGATTTCGTTCTTGTCGGCATCGTTTTGTGAGCAACGACTAAACATCAAATACATTTTGCACGTATGACTCCGTGCACGTCTGTTAGTTCCCATGATACAGTTTCAGACTCAGCCAGCTCATGTTGATCTGTACACCTGAACTATTACTATAGTCCATCGGCTGCAACGGAAGAAGTAAATACATACATAATACGATAGGTGTTCGTGAAGGCGATAGAGGAAGTTGCTGTTTTCTACGTACAGCTTTGAAATGATCCTAAAAAAATGGTTCGGTTTTGTCTTATGCTTCTTCAAACAAAATAGACCTGCCGATCAACTGGTAACGACAGCGGCAACAGCCATGCAGATCGGACAAATAAAGGAGCAAAATGATTGCTCCTTTATTTATCCGATCTGGTAGTCCGAAATAACGATAGCATCGTTACGCAGCCGCGTTCAATTTAGGGTAGAACGTCAGTGACCCCGCTGATTGCTGCCCTTAGCATCATTGCTCTCATTAATAGCGTTGTTTGTATCGCCTGCCTGCCCGTCTGTTAGTACAAGTGTTCGTAAGTCGTTGTATATATACCACATGGCTATTTTTACATCGTCTTGTTCGTTCCGATGACGACGATTGGTGTTATTATTTTAATGCAGATTGACGCGTTTTAGTTAAATGACGAAATTGTAAAAGTTAGTTGTTTCGTACTGTGGCTCAATACTATTGCTGCCGCTGTCGAGCGCGCGGTTGATATAGGTCTCCCTATAACAGCCCTGCTTTCAACCATTTAGCTCTTTGTCATGCTATATATTTTAACTAAATAAATATTCCCGCTATCACTGTGACCACTATAATGACCGTGATAGCTGTTAATTAAAAAAGCTTTCTTAATTGATTCTCCCTATTTCTTTTATAGTACTAGTCTGTGTTGAACTATTTTTGACAACCATAGCATACTTGGCAGTACTTCAAAGCGACAGTTAAATTTCTGTTGAAGTAGCGTTTTGTATGCACAAAGGGGCAACATCCATCACACCGCAATGATTAGTACTGTCCAAACGATCAGTAGCGGAAGGTGCGTAAGAGTGAGGTGATCTAAGCCTTATTTCTGAGATTCGCTGACTCAATGCACGACAGCTTTTGCGACGTAGGCAAAGTCTCTCGTATGGCAGGAGGCGTTCTTCTCAGTGAGTTATGCTCTACATTAGTTGCTACTAAGGCTCAGCTAGCCTAATAAAGCCATGCTCAACGATATCAAGGACCAAGCATGATTGACTTCGCTTTGCGAACCAAGCGATAGTTCTAACGTTAGTTGTCCGCAACGCATCCGCGCGTACACTGTCATACTGATCATTACCGTTGTCATCCTACTGTAGGCTCATTGGAGCCTGGTGCCACCATAGAATGGTTTGCAGCTACCACCCCCTGACGATCGACCACTAAGGCCATGGTGATTCCTACCACATAATGGAATACCAACCTGGGCGTGTGGCAGGATCATTTACCACCAAGCGGCGGGCATTTGTGGTCAACTTGCCATTTTCTAGCCATACGATAACATCACTACATTGAGAGGCTAAGATCATGCACAAGACGTTCAATATCGCAAAGAAACGCTATTGACTTCGTTGGTAAACATGCTGAGCTAAACCATTGTAAATGTAGTACAGAGTTACTTCTAGGTGTAGTTGTAGTTCATCTAACGAACAGCGTTGCTCTATTGACCGCAAAAACGTATGTAGTAGGTGTGAAATACTAACTGAAGCTAGCAGCTGAACGAAACAGCGTATCGGAATAGCAGACGAAATTTGCGAGAAAATCCCAACTATCTTCGCCACCGTTCCCTGCCAATGTGTCGAGTAGATCCACCGGGAAACCGTGTTGTGAATCGATTTTACACCGAAGTCGTAGTTTGTTCGCCCGTCTAACAGTCGCTGGGTGCTTCCCTTCTTATTCCAGCGAAGTGTCGTCATCACCGCCATCATAATCATTATAATCATCGTATAGTAAACGCCGTTGGTGACAAATCGTACCGCACCGTCGTGTGTCGATGGAGAAAAAGGGACCAAATAGTGAAAAATGCAAATTAAGCGAAAGTGTTATATCCTTGAAGCGTTTCAAAAAGGAATATAAGGGCAAATAAATATAAGCTGGAACAGGATACCACTTAGAATCAAGTAAAGTGCTGTGATGTGAATTTTCCCTCCGTGCTCGTCTCGTCCACCTCCCGTGCCCTTTGTGTCTACAAGTGTGAAGCTTTCATCCGTCCCTTCAACAGCTGCCTGCTGCAGCGAAGCTTCGAGAACTGCACCCAAATTGAGCACAAATATCGAACTATCAGCGATGCGCGCTTTTTGGATACTATGCCTGTTAGCTCTTGTCTTCCGGTGCTCGGGGGCTTTCAAATCGAAAGCCAAAAAATCCTTCGGATGCCCGCATCATTACTACCATCGCCCTGAGGTGGTTAGATATTTGACAAAGATCGTCCCAGTACCAGAGCCCGTTCCAAGTCCAGTTCCTGTTCCTGTCCCGAAGTTCATACCAATCCCGACCCCCGTTGAAGTCTCTCATCCGGTGCCTGTGCCGTACAAAGTTCCTATCGTAAAGCGGGTCCCAAAAATTGTGCCCGTCCCAAAAGAAGTCATGGTCCCGAAGATGGTTCCGGTGCCACATGAAGTGCCATTCCCTGTGCCAGTACCCGTCATCAAGTACGTACCTGTTCCAGTTCACAAAACTGTACCCGTGCCGATAGTCAAAGAAGTTCCAGTGCCTGTCAAGGTACCGAAGTACGTCCCGGTGCCGTACCACAAAGTGGTCAAGATCCTCAAGCCTGTTACAGTCCCGGTGAAGGTTCCCGTATTTAAACAGGTCATTATTAAGAAACCTATAGAGGTGCCTGTACCATTGTATGTAAAGCAACACATTCACGTTCATCATGAGCCCCATAATCACCCCATGCCCATGATCATGAATGGAGGTGACTGAACTCAGGAAGTTCGATGTCTATTAGACGCCCGTGAAACCTACGGCAGTTGACGCTCAGTATTGGTAGCTCGATAACCCTGTCGTTAATTGTATTGAGAATTAGCACTGAAGGTAGGATCGCTTGGAACAAATATTTTACATTAATGTTACCTGAAATGTTAAGACGTCTTTGGTATTTTTTTATGGAACTTGGTGTACCTGCTGGGTCTAATTATAGATTCGTACTTGTTACATATATATATGAATCGACAGCGTATTCAGTCATTATAGGGTAATGTGAGGTAATACGTGCCACCCGATTTCTGCTGATGTTAAATTAATTGACCTACATGTGTACGCGAGAGCGTATATTTGTGTGTCCGTCTGTGTGTATGTGTGTGTGTGTGTGTATGTGTGTGAACGCATGTATATAAGTTTACGTGTACCTATCTTGGTAGCGACACGTAGCACGTGTCCGTCTGCGTATTATAGATGTAAAGTCAAATGTGTAAATAAATTATCAATTGGTCAACGTTGCACCTCGGTTAATTTGCTTTGTCTAATTATTCTGGATTGGATTCCAGCTAAGTATCTATGTGTTTTTATTCGACACATACAACAGAAGTGAGTACCACATCATAAATTCCGCCAAAAATTTGTACGACGAACGGCCTAGCCGCTCGAGTACCCGCATACACACAGCGGGGGCCATTACTGTGTATGCAGTCCCACAGTGGGAATCGGGAGTGCCACAAGCTCCCTTTATTGAGATTAGCTCGTAGGCGACATTTTTGCGCCTTGCCAACAAAGGTCATAGCTGACTGTTGGCCAACAGAGAGTTCCCGGGCATTGCCTGCTAGTAATAACAATTGCAGGAATAAAGCAGTTGTAGTAACGAAAGTCTACGATGAAAGCCCGAGGTACGTATTTAAAGCAAAGCGTAAAATCCATTTCGATAATAACGGTGCAGCATCAGAAGCCATTACCACACTTAGTCATAGAGAAATCAAACTCATTTGTTCGCCTTCGTCCGGTAGCATCCCCAGCACTCGGAGTGCAAACATCTAAAGCGATAGATTAATAGTAGTAGTAGTAGTAGTAATAGCATGACAAAGTGGAAATAGCATTAGTGGGACGTTGGGAGCCAGAAGTGCATAGCCCATCGATTGTAGCCGCTTTCAGTAAAGGGCACGTCAAATTATGCGCTTAAAGTATACCATATATATATTTTACGTATATCTATTTACAGACGCAGTATGCTCCGGTCAACTTCGGCATGTTTCTATTCTAGGATATACTGGATGGCCGTAGGGCTTGGTCCAGCAAAGTGGACATCCAGCGGTTATTTAGTATCCGCAAAAGCGGCATTCAGTGTCATCGCAGTCTGATGATACGCTTTTAACTGCCGGCACGAGGCACATATTCACGTATGCATGCATGCACGCTCGCCTGCTTATTTGTTTGCTCGTCTACACGTGACAGCATCAGCAAGAAATGATCCATGCTTATCACACCGTAGAACATTGCAGTACTAACATGACCGGCCAAAGCTAAGCAATGTATCAAGTACCATCGATCGCTATAGCTGCCGCTATCGTCGACGCTGTTGTTGCATCGCAGCTGGCAGTGTTCTCGGTGCTGTGGTTGTCTGATGATTCCGGCAGCGTTGCCTTGTGCTCCCGCTTGCTTGAGCGCTGCGCTCTTCGACGTTGGGTCAATGTTAATCACAGTGTATCTAGCGCTAGCCAACGAAGAGGGTGCCATCACTGCGTACACCGCCGTCGGGGTTCCCTCTGGTATTATGTAATAATTTGCTAAAAGTAGCCAATCAGGCTGCATCCATAAAGCGAATGAACAGACAAATGGACGAATAATACCATCTTGGCAAGTCCTAAACACACACAAACATATAATAGCTACAACGGCAACACTTGCAGAAGCTGCTGGAGCGGCACACCGTGGCTTTGTATCGTTCTTGAACAGTCACAGTTATATCAGAGGCTAGAGCAGTCGCATCAAATCGTGACTGTTGTACCAGCAACATGCTGGTCGGCCCGGTACCCCCTAAGCTGTAAAACAGACTAACTTAGCCTGCCTCTGCCGCCTATGTACGTACATGTGCGGCGTAGGTGCCTGTGTTTGTGTGCGTATTCGTTCGTCCGCTGTTTATCCGTTTATGTGTGCGTGAATGGCTGCCACAAAGACACCAGCAGCGGCGGCGGCTCCCGCCGCCGCCGCCGATGGTGCTGGCACTCTCACTGGGCCATATGACATGCTGACGTTGGAACCCGGGCTGATCGATCAACCGGGCAGCCAAACAGTGAAACGGTTACACGTACACTATGACGCCCAACATGGTGTCGTTCGGTAGCTCGCGCAGTGCCATGGCTAATGGTGGCGTACGCCGAAGAAGTGAAGCTGCTGCTGAGGTGTCGTCTGTCTGCTGTCATGATATAATAGAAAGCCATAGCTGCACTAACTGCAATCGTGCTCCTGCTGGTGTTGTTGATGGGGTTACTATGATGATTATTATGGATGAGAACGCTTATGTCACAGGGTTCAAGAGCACGTGAAGGCCACATGCGTCGGACCCTTCACGACGCCTTGCGGTGATACGATTTAATGTGATTGGGGTTGTATTTGTAGCGGCAGCGGTTGACATGGTGACGGGCGGACGGGCGGTCGTGTTTGTGTCTATGTGTGAGTGTGTATTTACCCGCTAAATGTGGGTTCTCTAAAATACGGATCGTTTCAGCGTTGAATAACCGCCGACGACTGATGTCAGAGCGAAAAAAACTGCTAGTTACACTGGACGAAACAAATGAAGAGCTGTATTTTGTGTGATACGTACGATACTTTTACAACACACGTGAGGTCCTAGTCCTAAGCTATACTAAAGTATACATATACACACGTATATACACACGCGGCGTATAGACACACGCAGCTAAAAAACAAGATACCGGTTGGATCTTGGGCGCATTCTGAAATCGTGCTGTTCCATCGCATTAGCACAAGTGCTTTTACTTCCTACATAAATCTAGGGATACTGATGAAAATGATTTATGAAGTGCCGCAACTTCGCTTCGTAGCTAGAAAGAGTAAACTCCTAGGCAAAACGAATATGTTTATTTTATTACATTTTGAGCTCAATTAAATTGCCATAATCTGCGTTGACCGACTAAGCTCAGATGTAGCAAGTGCTCAACGACAAAAATACCTCGTTCATAATGTGCTATCTAATTATATTTACGTATATAAAAAAAAAACTACGCCACAGTCATAAATATCACTATAGGCCGCGTATAAATAATAGCTTTATTATTATTATTAACAGTGGCGAGATAACAGAATAGGTGAGTCACGTTAGAGTCGTAAGGACAAACAGAGAAGCGTCGACACAAATGCGACGGACAGTGCGTGTACAGGAGGTCAACGTTGTCGCACAACGTCAGGCGTCAGCGCGCCTGCTGCAAACAGGAGCAACCCCGCTGCACGCAATTACTTGCAGATCTACACGTACTTATTACATACATACCCATAGGCTTTTAGAGAAATCTACTTTTTGCCATTTACAAGAGCTTTTCACACGATATTATTATATGTTATATGAGCACGGTGTAAACGTAGAGTAATTCCAGCCAGTTGTCGATTCTGATACCACAGCTTCTAGTAGAAGTAGCAGTCGGACGCCCGATTACGTAATAATAACGTGACCGCGTACCGAAAACAGTTCTAAATATAAATTTCGCTTAACAACAGCGAAGAAGACAAAAACGAACACAACAACAACAATAATAATTAACAGTAATTATTGTAGGGACATTAATTTTCATGGTGATAATTAAAAAAAAGCACCGGTATGTTGACAATAATTAAATTCCGTCTTATCACGTGATGTTGACGGCGCGATTTGAATTAGATCGTGTATATCTGGCCTATACGACGCAATGGCTTCTTGTGATTAGACATATGTTTTTATGTTCCCGTGTGTGTATCCTACTTGCCATTCAAGAGCTATGAATAGTGACGACATTAGTTTAAACAAACTTACATACATATACACAAATGAACAAACACAATGGCCAGTGATTCAAAATAGTTCTGCGCCTTTCTAGCGGCGCCGCTATTCGGTCGTTCTGCGATGGTTTTCGACGTTTCGACGCGTTTGTCAGGGTAGCAGTTGTATGTAAGAACGAGCCCCCACAATCGTAATCTGTTGTCAGTACAAAAGGAAGACTTCATAGTACGGACAAACGGGCACCGGTCCTGGTTTCAGAACTAGTCAGATAGAATCAGCTGTAGCCGATAGCTACTTCAGCTGTTAGACGATTTGTTCGAGCAGTAAAAGTTATGTCTTTTGCTAACGGCGTTCACTGGTGGCGAGACCAACCGAAGTTGGACTAGTGCGTTGCCTGTAAGTGTGGGCGCGAATCAGGCAAAAGAACAAGCCGGCGCAAAGGCAGCTTAATACGTTTGCATCATAGCGACCTGCTGTACACATGTATGTGCCGACTGATAGAACTACAGTGGCGGCTTAATGCGGACGGCCACAGCGGTACGCGATGGACAAGCGAAGTAGACCGGTGAAGGGCCATCTGTGCCTATTAGCAGTACGGGCAATCATTGCACAGCACTTCCAATCCGCTGAGAGAAGTCATCGGACAAAGCCATTATTTTCTTATTGTATTCACGTGCAGACGTTCAACCTTTTTGATAACATTAGAAAATATCTCCGTTTATTTGCAGGCTCACAACCGTAAACGAACGGAGACGCCAGAGGGATTTTTAGAGATTCCTTTCCACGCTTGCTTTCTCTCGCCTCTGAGCTTAACCCATACAAACATAGTAAAGTAACAGGCAAAGTCGACAAGGACACAAGGCGGGCCAATAACAGGTATACTAAGATAATAATATTCCTATTGTATGTCGATGGTACTGTTTTTTTTACCGAATCACGGGTGTGGGCTGCAAGAGGTAGAATGTCCTACATCTAATAACTGCTATCATATGTTGTCAATTAATAGTGAACATAATAACAAGCTTACAGTTGACAAGATTTTGTGGGCCGAGAAATCAGTCGCCCCCGACTCTGCAGTAGTCACCCATTATCCTCATTCCCACCCTGCCTGTTACATCTATAACTATGCTGTTTACTACACTTGAGAACATATAAATATCGATTCGAATCTTAGTTGTTTCCTTTTGGTAGAGGCCATTATACACCGTTAATTGTAAGGCTGGTGCGCTTTCGGCTAAGCTGAAAATACTTATTTTAAAGGCACTAGAAAGCCTGGGCTCGAAAAGCAAAAAGGTATACGTTTACCGCACAATTAGCAAGCCAGATTTGCGTATTGCCTCGAAACAGCAGATGTAGTACGATAAAATAGAAAAAAATCTGGTGTTAAATCGGACCTGTTGTAAGCACGTTTTTGTTTAGACTATGTATTACATATGTACAGTAAAAGGTGTAACCCTTTTCCTTTAGAAAAGAGTTATTTTTTACCAAAACATATTGTATGCTGATCGTATGAGCT